ATCGACAGTGTGTGTATTTATAATAAAGTAGACTATATGCATGATACAACACCTAAGTAACGCCTATATCATTTGGGGCCCTGGAGAGGTATCAGCCTGCATAAGCGTTCTTATATTGGTAGTCGAATTAGATGCAACTAGTTTATTATCAAAAGCTATTGAGATAAAAAATATGACAGAGGAGCATACTGTCAAGCGCAACCCAGCCTTTTCGTTGGAAATGTTTTTCATAATGATCATAGACACTCACTTTAAGCACACCCATAGTTCTCATGATCATGTGCTTTGAATGACCTTCAAAGAGCCGGTGTCGTAGAAACGATAGCTAAGAAAACGAATAATAAGAGAGGTTTCGCTTGTGTCTTGTCCTACAAATGACAGCTGTTAAAACGTAGTATTGTGGTGTGTGTTACTGACGTCAACAGATATAGGCAGTATGTACCATCAATCGGAAGTGAAATGTCTGGCCTCAGAATATGAGGAAGATTGAAGAAATGAGAACGATAACAGGGAATGATTGATTTGAAAACGAAAGAATAATCAAGTCTAAGACGGTTGATTGACATTTTACAAACGAACTATTTATTGTATCATTCTCAGATTTTACCAGGTGATTCTTTAATTTTGTGTTCAAATACGTTTGGTTGTCCCCGCCTGGGTTTTCGTTCACTACATTATCACAACCAGTTGCAGTAGCCAAAACACCATTTATCAATATGCAAACAGCCTGTTCTCTCTGGGATGGCCACCGAGAAGCCACCCACGTACATAGTCAATTGACTTAGTTATCGATTAACTTATCGATCAGATGTTAAATATTTGAATAGCAGTCAATTGACGAACTTATTGATCAATGTTTAAAAATTTAAATGACAATACTGATTATATATAATTTTGTATAAATACGCATGTTTTATTTTATATTTTGATTCTTGTCAATAAGTGCTCACAAACGTCTTTCGTCTTCTTACTTGCGAGGGGTTGGAGGTTCTAACGTTCGAGTGTCATCCGTTATATAGAGTGTTCGTGCGTATTTAAGCAGAGAACTTAACACTCTCATACCGCTATAATTATAATGATGTGGAAATAAAGTATTTGTTAGGAATATTATTTTAATTATACATTTCGATTCTTAATTGAGAATTCAAATAATCACTGATTGGAATACAATACAATACTAAGCACGTGACAATACAATTTTTATTGAGAATTCAGATTGATGTCATGAAGAGTCCTGGGCTAGCACACTATTAAAAACTCGACTTCTTACCTGTTTTAAGGATTCGCTCAATTTTAGTGCGCGCAGTCTACAAAGCAGTCGAACTGCCTTCTTCTTACGCGCTGAAATTCGTTACACCCTCTAAAGAACTCAACTTAAACAAGGCAAGTCTGTTCAGTATCAGCTGTCTAAGCCCTTTGCTCACATCAACCGAAACATTCAGGCTTCCGAAAGCTTGACAGCGCTAGACAATCTCCTACCAACATTAGTAAACAGTCCTTGGAATTGTATGTTATTATATTTACTGATATGGCGTTTTTTTTGGAAATTGACACGATCTTCAACGAAGCAATTATAGCGGTAGCTTTCCAATGGACAATTACTCAAAAACAAGAGTAATGTTGCTCTTAAAAAGACTGATAACACACAATTATTTTAAACGCGTTTGTTTTAGGTTTTCAGACGTCAATAGACTACTTAATTGTTCGAACACTACGAATTAATGGGAGCTAACATTAACTTAACCATCACTGAGCATTTTAAATATAGAATGCTCACCTTGAATATAACCACTCAAGGTTGAATAGGCAGATTTACCCTGGAATCATCTTTCCATCCATACCAATTTTGGGTAAATGATTGTCTTTCCGTCTAAAATAGTGATTCATTCACGACTACAAAACTACGATTTCGACATTTCTGTAAATTACTAGTAAGCATACCGAATTCGACTACCTCTGATCACCACGATTTTTAAGAAATAAATTTCAATGGCAAACAACAAATGTTAGGTTTCACTTTTGATGCATTTTAATCAAACAGTTATTTTACACATTTCCGCTTTTAAACATATTCCGGGAAGTTAAGGGAGCCGTCGGACTCCTTTGGGAAGGAAAAACCTGAAATGTGTCATTTTGTGTATTTGGGTTCAAAGTTATGGAAATGGAAGTGTCAGGAGCTACCCACTCAAAAATACACGCCTGCCTCAGTACTTTTGTAAAAGAATCGAACTTTTGCTGTTTTTGACTAATATTAATCTCACATTATTGTGGAATAATGCCAAGGATTTGTATGACGACTAAACACTGGTGTTAAACAAAATGTTTCAGAAAACATATTTCAGATCGAGTTAGTAGATCACACTCATAAACGAAAAGGAATCACGGATTGTGCAACATGCTGGTTGTGCGTTGACCAAGTGTTGTGATAAGTGGATTGCTTTAGGAATCAATCATAAGGTTTGTGAAATGAGTTGACGATCAATCGTATAGGAGTGCGTAGTGACCATGCAACATAGTGAGCCTGTAGTATTATTGGCCTTAACCACACAATCCTCATACCTGAACATGAGATAACCGGTTAAGTAAGCTTCCAACATATAACACTAAGAGTAGGTCAATAATGCTGAACGCGGGGACATTCATTCGAGATTCAATCGGATGGCATGGTTCACCCTTGCAGGCGTGATCAATCTTGTGTAACTTATCTCTTCTATTCATGCTAAATATATTGTTCTATCTCCAGGCTAAATGTGTTCTTTAGAAACTCCAAACATCATATTGCTGATTGTTGCGATACGAGGAGCCAGAATAGACAATGATGTGACTTCCACGTAAGATCTTATAGACTAGGTAATCACACCATGATATATCTACGATGTTAGGATTAGGTCTATTATTATAGTAGTACTAAAAACGAAGTGGACCGTAATTCTACAAACCATACTTAAGATTGAGCAGATCAATTTTCCGATCACCGCATGTCTAACAGTTTCGTGATCGCCGTCAAGTTCAAGGGAAGACAGCGTCAACCACTGAGTTTGCACGTCATAAACAGTTATATACGCGGTGTTCCCACTCTGTTTATTATTATGTTCGTGCAAGTATCCGCAACACCTCAATACAAAGAAGGGTATTTAACGTTAGGCAATAATCCCGAGGTTTAAAATCAACGTTAGCTGAGAGGTGATGCCATTCCTGTCCAACGGAAATATCGCCGCAATCAGCAATATAAATCACTTGCTTTGGTAATCAACGCTGATGAGTCCGACGTGAACTGTATCTTTATTTGAGACGCTGCTTATCAACACCGGGACTGACAAGTGTAGACATATCTAACACTTAGCTTTTGATCTCCCTAAATAGCGATACAGTCAGCTTGGCAGGTCATTTGGGTAAGGTTTATTGTTGACACCTGCTCTAAAACTTCACTAAATACTTACTTCTCACACCAACCTGATGACTGTAATATCCTACAAGAATGGAAGTGTATTTATAAAGATAGACCGCAGAAATGCCATAATTATGAGTCATAGTCAGGCAGTCGTGTATTGATAAATTCTCAGCCTAATGTCAACCTCAACCATTCAACATCGATTGAGCAGTTTCCCGATGTTGTGGCCATTCAACATAACAGGTCAATTCGATTGAGGCTCGGTGCCTTTCCACCGATGAATTAAGCATTATCACAAAGTGCAGAACATTATGACTAAAACATTTTCGTTGTTTTCTTTTCTCTTCAATGATTCATTGCTTTCAGTTATCGAGGCTCTTCAAAAGGGATCCCTGTATATCCCGGTAATATTTGGTTGGAAGTAGTTGGCTTACTTCCTATGCCAGTTTATAAATACCGAAAACATTTGTGAAACAAGAATAACCGTAAGCACCACCTCAAATTTCTAGGTAGAGAGTTAGGTCACAGGTAGTCTGGTATTACATTGGACTTACTGTTCAGAAGGTACGACTTACTCCATGTTGATATCAATAAACTCAGTGATACCAGAGGAACCAAAATACTCTTGCGAGAACTTTGTACCACATAACACAGCGAATACTGGATTCCAAGAAATCCAGAGGATATGTCATGAAGACGCATTAGGAACTTGTTCAAAACCTTTGGGGTGTAATCATATTTGCCTAATTCCCATCATCAACGCGTAAAAATACCAAAGTGGCCAGGGGTACATGTGGATGAAGTATGTAGGAATTGGTCAATGGACGAGCAATTTATAAGCAAAGGAACTTCCGTTTAGAAAAGCCGTAGTGATGGAAAAGACTTAAAAAAGACAAGTATTCTCTGATAACTGAAGGGTCAAATTCTCTATAATAAGTGGAAATCCTGCAGCATCTTCATTGTTGACTAATGATTGACCGTCCGTGTTTTATGTATAGTAACCAAAAGGTCGTTAAGTCTCCTCGGAAACACTAAAATATGGAGGGTACTATAAATCACCGATTATACCCCTAAAGAATCCAGAAACCACGAAAACTTTAGGACTAATCATTGTTCTTCAGGACCCTTCAAAAGATCTGAAATCAACCGAACGAATAGTTCCCAGGAGCTGGTAGTCATATAAATCTACAAATGTATTGATTTTCTTACACGGACAAACCATGAAAGGGAGTAGGGTTCCTTTGTCCTATGTTTGAACTGGGATTTCTGGTTATTACGAAATCAGCACCTAAACGTATCAGTAAAAGGTTACACCTTTTCCACAAATGAATCCCCTATAAAAGTAATAACAATAACACACTAAGTTATCAGCTTTCACTAGAATGCAGATTGAAACCTTGCATTTTGTAAATCGTTTGGTGGTCATGCATTCACAAGTGACAGGTACTCGTCAGAGAGCCAAATGAGGGTTAAATATACTTAGTACGGTTGCGCAAGCATACGAAACTAAGGTGTAGATAAAGAAAAAAGTATTCTAGGATGACAGAACTCCCTTTAGCTAACATTAATGAGGACGATGAGAATACTTTGATAAGTCAAAGTAAATACGTAAGGTTTTCAAAATTATCTTTGTTAAATCAAATTGACTTCTGTGTACAAATAATCAGGTTGTTTTTTTACCCTGATTAGTATAATTTTTCAGTGTATTGCTACTATAATCGTCCGTAAAACAGGTGTTGGGAAAAATCCTGTCTCCACTGTTTATTCATCATCTGAAATTAAAAATAATAATATAAAGACGTCATAAGTCATCATAAGCGGATATCAACCATAGAATTATGAAGAACAAAATACCACTCAACAAACGTAACATTTTCTAGAGATTATTCGGTAGTGTACAAACTTACATAAATCCAATACTTAAATGGTGTTTTTAACGAGGTGACAATTATTTCGCGAGCAGAGCAGTTACTAACCGATGAATGACTACCACACCAAATGACAATTTAATAAAAACGGAAAGTGAGATATACTTGATATTTATTTAATTAGTTCAAAGGTATCTCGCCGGTCACGATGTGCAGAAGTCTTGGGTCCGATTTCATCTCATGTTGTGGTTGCAAACAATTGAAGAGTTACACAGATAAAACAACCGTTCAGTGATCTCTAGTTTTTAAAGATTTTTCTTGGGCAATATCAATTTGTAGCCAAAGCTATATAAAGCATTAATTGGAAAGAGAATATGGCACTTCAAGAAGCAGAGAATTGATATGCATTCCTTAACAAAAAAGAATTATCAATAAAAACGATCCTATTAATTAAATGACCACAATTAAACAAGATATTGCAGATCTCATTACATTAAAATAGACAGAAATTACTGTTGCAATCAATACAAATAAATCTTAGTGTAAAGACAAAAAAATGTGTTTGCCCAAAACGTCCGAAAAATGTTTTTAATAGTTTTAAATTGATAGTGATTTACAATACTTAAAGACTATACATTTGTGAATGATTTTTAAAAACCAATGACAAGAAATATTAACAACTTACCAGATTCAAATACTAACTTCTTGGGAATGGATGAAGACACATCCCTACATTTTTCCATATTCCATTTTATTCCATTCTGATCGAGTTCATCTGTAGTTATATTAAATTAAAAAAATCTTACTACGAATTCGTAGTGTCGTTAAAAATGAGTATTCGCATACACACCGGAGGCCCACAAAGGACTTATTTACACTCTAAATAAGAGACATGATTCTTTTAAGTTACTGGTTAACGACGTTCCGATTTCGAATCAGGCCGATATATAGTCAAAATAACCTTATTGGACAATTGGTATTGTTGCTGAGCTAATTAGCCTGAATTATTTTGCCTATGTAATTTTAATTTAAAATGGACAAAAGTCCTGTTTTTGCTACATTGTTACATACTGTGGAGATGCTAGATCTTCAGAAATCAATTGATGAACTTATTATTTCTGTAATTTCATTATGAGGACTTGAATTTCTCGTTCTCGCGCCATAAACGTACATTTTTACGTTCACTTTGTGTTTACCAACTGTAAGGACCTTAAACGTCATTCGTTGGGTTTCCCGTTTAGTATGCTATTTTTTGACGTTTTCAAGGACATTTTTGTGTCGTATATGTACGTGTGAGTTGTGTGATTGATGTTTATTTTTCAGGGCTGCTTATGGAGTTATATATTTTCCCGACTGAATCCGGTCTTCTTCTAGCCAGCAAGGATAGGGTGCAGTGGAATAGCTTAGCTTGTTCTATTGTCGCGTTGCTGAATTTCGTCCCGTTTGCCGGTCCCAGCTGATATCTTAATCCTTCGAACCTACCACATCCTCTGCTTGATTACGGTTAGTATGGTATTAATGCCTATGGGAGGAAAGACTGAATCAGCACTATGTTTTGTAAGCGTTTACATATTAATATCAAGTATTTTTAGAATATTTAATCTCGAGTCAATTATTACCATAAAATGCGTTAAACATCCACTACGAATATATAAATCAATATTACTAATAAGCATGTTTGGTACTTGGTAGCCAATTTTCCACAGGGTCCAAACTATTAGCTTCTGTCATTCATTGCAGACTGTCCAAAACTTGTGAAAAATTGGTACGAGGAGCATGCAGGTAGACATACTGATCACATCCTCGTCTACTACCAAATATTAAACTACATCCACACCTATAGTAGACCGAAAATCTTCTAGCCAATCGCGATCATACTGCAGCTTCCTTTGCTATTCTTCATAATAATGGATGGAACTTCTAACTGAGAGAAATCTTTCTCTGTTGCACCATTAACTGAACCTTATTTCCAATTATATACCGTGGCCTTTTCACTTATTTCCTTTTTTGAGAAATACTCCCTTTTCTCACTTCTTTCTTCGGAATGTCATTTCTATATTCTGTGTGGCACATCGTACTTTTGGTACCCAGTTATACAAGGTTTTAAGTGAATTAAATAAAAAAACATAATGTTGAAATCATGGAAGGCTGTGGCATATTCTGATTTGTTTCTTACATTTCAATTAAAATCAAAATTAATCCATTATAATGAAGTTGTGAAAATTCATTGCATTACCATGCTCTTGGTAACATCAGAGTCAAATTTATTTATAAAGGTGGTAAATGGAGAAATTAAAACCCGTTGCTTACTTGACTTGGGTAAGTTATAATTAAAAACTGTACCGTTCACTTTCTCCTCTATTTTCTTTGTTTGTGATTTATGCCTTCGATTAGTGGGAACTAAGGATAGAAATTTGAAAAAATTAATTAAGATGTGATAACACGATATATGTTAAATTAATGCACATGCTAGGCAGTTAAATGTTGCTTAATAAGGTTGAATGTGAAATTAAATAAACTGACTAACTGGTCAGTAAATATTCAATATGTGTAACAATATACAGCAGCAAAGTAGAAGCTTAATAAATAGAATACTACTGAATTTCAGAGTTAATGTTTACTTTGGGACTTGAACTCAGTACCGTTCGCTTCAAACGCTACAACGCTATCCACTTAGTTACTGAGTCCTGATAGCCACTTGCTTATGCAATGGGGTGAAGTTTAAATTCACTTGGTATTGTTTACTTGAATCTTCCCATTGATTTTTAGGACTGCAATTGATCAGTCTCTTATTGACATATCTGCATGCTGAGTGTATTGCCTCGATACTGCCTTATTTCACAAGCATTACAAGCAAAGATGGATAGTGACTAGCAGTGGAATCCAGAACGTGCATCTTCGTCCTATTTGGGACTCCTCAGCTGGATGTACCTGCATCTGAGTTGATGTTCACTATGAGACCAAGTGAACATATATTTGACATTGTTATGGTCATGTTGTTTCCAAATTATATTTCAGCTGTGCCAAAAAACACAAATTTGTTTTAGTTTGAGCTATTAAACAAATCTCAAGCAGAAAATCAGACAATTGGTGCGCGACCATGTATAACTGTCATCCTGGATATCATCATCATTCGACTTAGTTGAGTTGTTAATTTAGTTTGCTAAAAAGAGAGAAGGCACCAAATACATATGCGCCACACAGATCTCATTTGATATGTGTGAGGGCTGTGATACTGCCCGGGTGCCCAAACCGAAGCAGGTGGTTTTCTTAGGGGGCCACACCCCGAGCCTTCGACCTGAAGATCTAATCCACAGGGCAGTGGAGTAACATAAGCAGATGCAGTCCCATATTAGCCGGTGACCAACGATTGGTTCATACGCCATTTGTTCCTTCAGGATACTGGAGCCCATGTGCACCATTGGTTTGGGATCCGGTTATAGCGCCGGACATTCGCTTTTCGTCCTCTCATTTTCGTAAACAACACCCCCGCCACGTGAAGGCAGTGAGTAGGACTTCCCTGGCAGGGGCTGTATACGCGTGGCCATATGAGAGCATTTCGAGAGGGGGAGCGGACTCCCCCCACTCTCGGCCGTACCAGGGCATTTGGGGGCCAGTTTGCTAAAAAGACTAAATCAAGTCAACACAACGCTTTTTCGAGACCATATATGCAATCGCTTTTCACATTTTGAGACAATATAAAGACACAAAATCGATAAATGAGAATAACACAATGTTAAAACTAATGATACTAAAAGAAATATGGAAGAAGTATTTACAAAGAACGGATAGAAAAGTCATATACGAAGCACAATTCTATTTTAAAAACGTAAACGTCGGAAAATTAACAGCTCTTCGTCATAGATCAATTACATTTCCTAAAGAACATCACTTAACCAGCTAGAATATTTAGATTAAATTTTGCGGCACCCGCACCAGCGACTTCTTCATTGAACTCTATAAACAGAATCGGCTATAGCCACATGTTTTTCGGACAGTGCCAGAAATGTAATTGCTAGTAATAATTTTCAGCTTTAGAGTTTTGCCTGCTGTTGTCAACTCATCTACCGTAAAGGCGTCAATGAGATATAATTTTTTGGACATATTTTTCAAACAGCTGAAAAAATCATACTTATCAATGTAATTCTCGGCAAGTAACATATCCAACAAGTCATTTGTTACCTTAAAATTGAAGGGGTGTACGCATTCTACATTAAGAAAAGGGTTTGTAATATATTTAGTGAAAGTGCAACTATTTCGATCAAAAACATTTTGCTGTTATTTTTTCATTCTGAATGTAATCGTTCATCATGTGTTAAGCATGATTGTAACGTGTATACATAACGAGCGTTATAAGTTCACACTAATTGGCGAAATAAATGTAAACGGTCTGTCATTAACACATTTGTGTACTTGCCATTTCCCTCACTGTTATGGCAATTGAAGACGAGACTATATGCCGGATAGTACAAAAGATGGTTACTGACGGCTTGTTTGTGAGGCGAATAGCATCAAACTTTGAAAACCGTCATATCCACATACAAAGATCACACTCACTAAAAGACATTTCACCAATAACCAACACAAACTAGGAGACTCAACATAACAATACTCCACTCCCTGCGTACCACTGGCAGGCCACGCATTCGTCAAGGAATCAGCGCGTATAAACATGTGTTTGCATAATTCCTCATTCCCATGAGTGGAGGGAGTTTAATTATATGGGCATATATGGTAATATCACGTGATATATTTTCTGGCATTGTGTCAAAGTAATAACCGCTTTTGTGTAGCTGTATTTTATTTAGTAGAATTTTGTAATAAAAAGAAAGTTAAATTACATTCGTACCCCATAATCGACAGGAAATTGGATAACCCATGATAACTTCATTCTTGAACATCTTAAAAGCCGCTTTACGCTGAGCACTCTTTTTGAAGAAGATGAACACATTTCTATGTAAAGAAAAATGTATATGTTGAGAGAAGACTAGCCGATATGTAGTAAAACCAAGTTTTTACTCAAATTTCTTAATTACTTCTCTCACACTGCATCTAAACATAAGTTTACGGGGATTAAGAGTAATGATACTAAATAATTGTAAATTATGACCAACACTTCAACCTCATATTTACGAATACGACATTTATTCAGGCATTGGTAAAGAACCTACATAACCTAGCTACAGATCTTCAACAACGGAAATAGACAGTTGTATATCATCAAGTGAGCTAAAGTATTCATGTATAGAATGTTCAATATGTTAACTTCTAAAAAGATGTTTCCCGTAAGAAACAATTCCATAGTACAGTTTCGCGTAACCAATCAAAGGCACTACTAATAAAAAGTAACACGACGACTAGTTTGCAATATGTGTAACGATGCGTCCAAGTACCCGAAAAAAAGAAGACAGTAAAATGATCAATGAACCAGGAACCTGAAAACAACTTGTCTGTTTTCGCCGAACATTTTTTCGTATTTTGTGCTTAATATAACAATTACTACCATAAACCCAACTGGTAATGAAGTTCCCTAGTAACCATGAACGGAAAACAACAAACCAATAATATTGTTTGCGGTATATATCAACAAAATCTATCGATAAATAACTGATAAATAAGTCTAGTGATCGTCTTACATGCAATATCGAAAACATGAGAATTGCAACTTTTAAGAGTAGTTCCGAATGAATACTGTGGATTTGATACGATGAAATTCGACGTAAAATTACTAATACCTAGGCTTTACCTTTTAGCTCACTCCTTGCAAGAAGCATAGAGCATCCTGGTAGAACTACTGACACATTACACAGACACCTTTATTCCAAAGCTAAGAAAATACTAAAAAACAACACACAACATATTCGCATACTGATGACATGGCTCAAAGGATTACATCTGAAAATATCTTTTACTGGGTTACAATCAGTTTAGATATTTCATTTTTATCTCGGAGGTCCCATGGTATGGTTGCCAGTCAATGCGGACAATGAACTAGCCCCATAACCATATGATAGAGACATATAAACTGTAAAAAACTCAACTTTACCCTACTTTAGGCCCTGAAATCAACATTAAAATCCCCACACAGGCACAAATACAGAACTACACTGCTCATAATTAATAAAATTTACAAGTGACAGACGCTTATTGCAAAGCTTACTTACTCCTGTTAGCCCTCGTGGTGGAACATAGGCAACTGCCCACCAGCACTCACCATCCGATTCTGTTCTGGGCAATCCTTTTCAGTTACCATTCATTCCTTTGATGTCTGCTTCCGACTACCGATGCAGTGTGACCCTTAGTTTTCCTCCTCTCCGCCTTCCTTCAGGATTTCAAGATAGTGCTTGCCTCCACCTCCAGAGTCTTTTCCTAGTTTTCTCCTCAGATGGAAGCTGGTTTGTTCGCTTCCACAATAAGCTGTTGCTGATGGTATCCGGTAAACGGACATTCAGTATCCTACGTAGACAATTGTTTAAAATACTTGTACCTTTTGATCATAGTTTTAGTAGTTTTCTAAGTTTTAGCTCTGTACGTTCGTATTGAAGATTTTGACTTTAGTATTGGTTGACAGTTGATTTGAGTCTCATATGTACTTCAATTGTAAGAATGCAGCCCTTGTTTTGTCAATCCTTGCCTCCATATCCGTATTAGATGCTCCTTGTTTATTGATGATGCCGCCCAGGTACGTGAAAGTTTCCACATCTTCCAGAGCTTCTTCATCAAGTGTGATTGGGTTAGTGTTCCCCATGTTGTGTTTGAGGATCTTGCCTTTTCAATTGTGTATGTTGAGGCCTACTGATACAGTGGCTGCTGCTACACTAGTTGTCTTCATCTGCATCTATTCGTGTGTATAGGATAGGAGGGCCAAGTCCAAATAGTTTAATTGATTCTAAGCTGTCCATTGTATTTCGTGATTCCCCTCAGATGTGGAGGCCTTCATAATTTAGCCGATCACCAGAAGATAAAGAAAAGGGAAAAGTAAGCAGACTTGTCCAACTTCGGTTCTTACCTGGAATGCATCTCTCAGCTGTCCTCCATGTACTTCTTTGCACCATAGTACGTTGTATGAATTCCTGATGATATTGACGATCTTCTCAGGTACACCATAGCATGGAAGAAGTTTCCATAAGGTCCTCTTACCCACTGTCAAACGCCTTCTCATAGTTAGTGAAGTTGATGTATAGTGACGAGTTCTATTCAATCGACTGCTTAACGATGATTCGTACTGTCGCGATTTTTAAAAAAGTATTTTTTAATTTTTAGACGAATTTTTAAGTTACTTAGACAAACGCCACCTACCTAGTATTGGAATCTTTAATTGCTGCCGAGCTTAAACCAGTCAAAGATGTTTCGGGAAATAATGCTTTAATTCGATCATCTTCAATCACATTGGGTACTTCTTTAAGTTTCAAACCATAACTCATACTTGCATCGGGAGGTTTGGACGATTCCGATTTGGATTTACATTGTAGATTTGCTCTAACCAGTCGATTATTAATATACTTATGTTTACATTCATCTATAACAATTTGAAGGTCTTCCTTATTCTTCATTTCTAATATACATGAACTAAAAAAAATTTAATGAAACTATGAATATGATAGATCAAAGTTTGGAGTAGTATAATCAGTTATAATATTTGAACTCAAGCTGTTTTTATTTTATTTTAACACATAGATATTGGTACAAGGAGGCACCAAATACATATACGCCACACAGATCTCAATTGATTTGTGTGAGGGCTGTGATACTGCCCGGGTGCCCAAACCGAAGCAGGTAGTTTTCTTAGGGGGCCACACCCCGAGCCTTCGACCTGAAGATCTAATCCACAGGGCAGTGGAGTAACATAAGCAGATGCAGTCCCATGGAAGCCGGTGACCAACGATTGGTTCATACGCCATTTGTTCCTTCAGGATACTGGAGCCCATGTGCACAATTGATTTGAGATCCGGTTAAAGCGCTGGACATTCGCTTTTCGTCCTCTCATTTTCGTAAACAACACCCCCGCCACGTGAAGGCAGTGAGTAGGACTTCCCTGGCAGGGGCTATGTACGCGTGGCCATGTGAGAGCATTTCGAGAGGGAGAGCTGACTCGCCCCACCCTCGGCCGTACCAGGGCATTTGGGGGCAACCTTGAAGCACTGGACGGCCATCTCGTCTTATTGTGGGGCTTCTTAGCAGTGCACATCCACGATCCCGCTCGCGGGATTCGAACCCAGAGCCTTTAGTCTCGCGCGCGAACACTTAACCTACTGAACCACTGAGCCGAACTCAAGCTGACTTTTACTATGAGCTAACACGAAGAAACACTGGAGAACTGTTGAAAACCATAGCATTGTAAAACTGGTTCCTTTTAGTTTGAGACCTGAGCAATGAGCAACAAATAACCCAAAAAGCAAGTGAAACCAATACCATCAGATTAAATTCTATAAATTCTCCACAAAACCGTGTTGAAAAGTGATAAGCATATACTTACACTAGCGATCAGTCCTTACGGGTTTCCTATAGCTCTAGTGAGAAGTCATAAACTAATGTCAACTATATCAGAAGTGGGGCAGTTCACAACCAAAGCCCTTAAGGGCAATCGTGCTATATTATGGCAAACTAACTAAAGCTGAGAATCTAACAGTTGGATGGCGACCCAATAGTCTAAGGGCATTGTGCCTGCCGTGGCAGATGGAGGCCTTCGGTTCGATTTGATTGGCTTGCACATGTTTTAGTATGCTACTTTTTGCATTATTATTGAAGACATTGTATATATACTCACGTCCACTAGAGTTCACTTGATTCTTCTTCGGTGAGTTTAATAAACCGTTTAGTGTTTGATATATTTCTTTACTTAACATAGAGCTACAAAAAGGGTGAAAAAATTGTCTACGTTTATCGCTCACAGTAATCGATTCTAGCAATAAACACCATTTATTACTACAAGAACCCACCAAAGAGACAAGTAATACTCTGTTATCCTGTCCTAAATGCATCTTCACCCCCAAATACGACGGTCATATTTTATGAATAATATAACTCAATTAGTTGATTACTTAAAATCCAGAACTTGATTCAATAACTATACAGATATATTTGATCACCTAAATCAAATACTCATCGATCATGAGGCATCTTGGGATCAATCTAATAATATTGATAGTTGTAATCCTATGTATGATTCAATAAAGTAATACCTAATAAATACTACACTTCATTTAAAGTGGTAAAGAAAAACAGTACCTACCCATTGAATATTCCAAACTTATTTACACCTACATGAACACGATTAGCCATGGGGAAATGTTCTTTAATCTCAGTTGCAGTTAGTGAGTATGGCAAGTTTCGTATAATTAAACAATTAGGACTATTAGTTACATATTGTCTTGACAGATTAGACTGGATTACATTTTCTGTGTATCCAACGATGGTTCGATAATTTGGCTATATAACAAATAATAATTTTTTAAAAGGGGACATGAATAAATTGAAGCGTGTGCAGCGACTATTTAGACATATATGTGATATTTGAAGCAAGATTAAGGTAGTATATAGTTTAATGGTCGATTGTAAATACAATCAGAGTGGTGGTTAAACTACTACGTTAAACTAATAGGTCCCAAACTCAAATTACACTTCATTTACTTTTGTTTGGGCAGTTGGTTAGTATCACTAATTGTCAGATAAATGTGGTTCAAAGTTAAGTAAATTAATTTGCACTTGGTTACCAAGTTGCATTAATATTATCATGACTATTATGATTTGTAAGGATAAGCTTTGCTTGAAAGTTAAGTATAACACAGAAGTATTCTTCAAACTTTCTTGTGATTCTTTAAATATAATACACTTTCCTTTCAAAGAATAAAAACAAAACACAAGAGTAAAAGGAGATTTATGACCAATTATTTCGTTAAAAATGTGTAGGTACTAAAATAGGCTAAGAGCACAACATTACCTGATCTAAAAATGAAATTTTTACTCATGTACAACTGTCTCTCGATTGTTTTACAATATAAACTCATGCATTGAAATTCATGAATCCAAACATCGCTGACACTTCAGGATCTGTAAAAACGTTACAAGCAGTCAAACCACGGTATTACTCCATAAAGTTACTAACTGTCAGACCGAGTTATGTCATTAGGGGTAAATATTTACGTCGGTATCCTCATAGTGAGTATCATCAGTGGCTGATGAACTTCGGTGAAATGGTTTGAGATCGGTAGAGGTAGTGTAGATGTATTCGCTCTTCGTCTTCCTTCAAGTCTAGAAAGCTGAAATATTTCAAACATCATTTTGCCGAAGCTTTGATTTTTTAAAACTATATTTTTCGTGCTTACGTTACCATTGTTATGATTTTGATTATCCATTTTGTAAACCAAAAATAATGTTTATCAACGAAACTAATCATATGGAATCATTTACTCGCCATTGGTATAATGATTTTAGCTCCTTTTCATTTTATTTACTAAATTTCATTATGCTTAAGTATGTTGAATTGAATTGTCACATTTTCCCGCGATCCTAGGTTGTTGGTGACAAATTAAATGAAGATTTATATATTGCTTAAATGTTTTGAAAACTGTGGATTTTGATTTCTTTGATCAATTTAAAGGTGTCCTGAAGATGTTTAGTTTAATTGCTCAGTGTTTAAGAAGTGCTTTGATGATAATAACAAACTTAACGATAGAAAAAAAAACACCATATTACTTGTGCGACACCTATAAATACTAACAGATGGACAAAACTAAAAAGGATGAAGAGTGAGATTTCGACATGCGACCCAACCTTTAAAATTCATGTTCAAAAATTTTATTCTAGACATCATATATCATTCGACAACAAAGAGCGCAAAACTTGGAAAATAAGCGACATGATAAGTGACAAAAAGTTATTTGTAAGTACACTTCACAAAACAAATTGTGACCAATAAACAGAAAAAACAAACGATAAAATCGAGTTTACTTAAAGTATGCTAAATGCATTATATATACTTACTTTGACACCATCAAATTCAATTGACTTTAAACGATTCACAGCATCTAAGTAATCGTCATTACTTGAAAAGTCTAAAAGCGCGTGCTTTGAACCAGCTGTATTACGCAAATTCAGATGAATAACTGATGGAAAAATATCCTTTAAAATGGTTTGGCTGACACTGCGTGGTAGACTGGTAAGCAACAACTTTGGTGTCCCATGTGTTAGCTCTTAATCGTAAAAAATCGCATGCGTTTATAAAAAATTTTATTTAAAAGAAAGCAAAAAACGAAGTGATAAGATTTTCTTTATTTGTCGATCAGCTAGAATAAGCTCAAGAACTAGGAATTATTCCTATTGAAACGCTTTTCTGTGTAAATAAGAACTTTCGTCTAAATTTGAACGAATAGTTTCACAATATTTGGGCGCCGAGTTAATGTGAGACATTGAAGAGGAAAAAATGTATTTGTAAAATCTCAGCGAATGAATTTTAAGTAAATCCAACGTTTCGCCTGGCAATCTGGTCCAAGCTTTTTCAAGGAAAATTATCGAATAATATTCGATAATTTTGTTATTTGATTATATTTTCCTTGAAAAAGCTTGGACCAGACTGCCAGGCGAAACGTTGGATTTACTTAAAATTCATTCGCTGAGATTTTACAAATACATTTTTTCCTCTTCAATGCTTTTCTGTGTAGCTTATAAAAAGCTTAACGCAAAGCTAGGTAACACTAACATACATAAATTTTACACAAAACACAGAAACAAATTAATGCAATAAAACCGATTAGTATTTGAACATTAATTGTAAATATCCAAGTGAATTATAAGCAGACGACCTTCCGTTAAAAAGAACGGATACTACAGAGTATTTCGGGAAAAAAATTATTAATAGAAAACTAACGTTAAAATATAGAGACGTAATAAGATTGTTACAGGGGCGAGATATAGCAAGGTAGCGAATCGCGATGAATTATTTAAAAAGAAACTTTCTAAACCCTACAAAAACGAATTTCTATTGTTACCAGATTGAGTTGCCTGATAATCATACCAGTATTTAGGAAAAGGAAAGAAACGTCTTGTAAGAAATCTTGAGGAATTTCAAGTCCTCAGTCAGCTACAACGTAGGACTAGGCACATATGTGCATCGGTCCAAGTCGCCATACTTCATTAGCACAACAAGATGAACACCGGACTCATAGAAGTAGTTAATTCAATGGTGGTAATATCTAACAGAAAGATTGCATATAAGGACATAGTACATGATGAAAGAATCAGTTCGTTGAAAGAATGATATAAAGCTATTTTAATCTCACAGTCTAAGGAAAGACAAGGAGTGTATACACCGACAACATTGTGATCGATTCCCAGCCATGTCGCACAGAGTCTCTAACCATTGGTTACAACAGTCACGCGGACTCCAACCAAATAGTCTGCATCTACCAACATGGCTCAAACCAGAAGTTAGTGATTTCAAGCACTGACGCCACGTTTTGGTTTGGCCGCCTCTAACATTTTTCCAACCGTCTCCAACACTGGTCAGCATAGCGCGTCGTGGTAATCGGTGTTCAGGCATACGTAACACGTGGCCCAACCATCCCAGCCGATAAAGATTCACAACCTCATCAACTGATTTATCATCATTCTCTAATACCCTGTGTCTAACCTCACTATTACTTACCCGGTGATCCCAGCAAATGTGAGCAATATTTCTAAGGCATATGTGATCACATACTAGTAGTTTACGAGTATCTTTTACTCTTAATGGCAACGTTTCGCAGCCGTAACGTAGAACAGAACGAACTGTCGCGCAGTATACTCGTCTCTTAATTGATAGATGAATATCTCGCCTTCGCCATAGGTTTTAGGCTGTAACATCCACAAGAAAAAAGAAACTTTACAATTCAGTAAGCTTTGTGGAGGCTCACGTAAGAGGTTTAACTCATTACAATCTTATGCAATTTTAAAATTAATCTGCACCCTTGCTTACAGTCAACGTTTCTCCCTTTTATGACTTTCAATAATTTTTTAAAAACAAACTCCTCTCCCCTTTGATGTATTAAGGAAGGTTATACGGCACATTGCTTTTAAGATTTTTCGTTAATACATATTAAAACATCCAGATTTGTCACTTGTTAAGCTTAGAATGTTACAGTGGCTGTATTATTATGAAAGTAATAAGGTATTCTGATCAGATCTCAGGTTCAGAATATAATTTCGAGTTTATTTTACTGCATATATTAAGTTACATAAAGCCATTTGATATCATATATAATATTTATTGGCAAAGCACTTGTCGAACACACTTATAAGATAACTCTGAAGAGAAAATGTCACTCAATCTACAACAAAAATATATCACGTCAAAGTTTAATTCTAAGCATTACTTTAGACAAACATTTGACTTTTACCTTTGGTCTCAGAAACAGATTTTTGTAAGATCTGAACAAAAGCATTAGCTATACCAAAAATACTTACTCTCTTTTTTGATTTACGGCCAAGCTTTTCATTTTTGGAATATTCCTTCCTAACGCTACAAGTTTGATTTGACTTGTCTAAACCGATATTAATTCCTGACGCCTTTGTGGAAGGACAATCAGTTGACTTTGATTTCTTTGTATGTTTACGAGTCTTAAATTTACAGTCTACCTCACCACGTGCAGTCCTTTTCATAGAATTCTGAAATGTTAAGAATAGGAGAGTTCACTTTACAACACGGAATTCTTGTGCAAATTTGTTGGATTAGTGAAACAAGGTTTTTAGTACATTGTACGAAGTAAATATCATGAGAAAATAATACAGAACAAAAACGATGTACTTCCAGACCTTTGCAAACAAGTAGTAAACCAAATTAACTTACAGAATTTGGTTCAAATAAATAAATAAATACTACAGATATGTAGTTGCGTACATTCAAAACACATCGTTTGACGAGCTCCCTTAAACACATAAACCTGGAAGTACACCCGAAGCAACCCACAAAGGGGAAATAATACGGAAATGCAGCAGAATGTCTGCTTTTTCGACTGTCAAGAGGAAATAATACGGATTTGTGGTTGAGACGAAAAAACCCATTAATAAATAGATAGAATTTTCTCACAAAAGACTAAGGAACGTAAGAAAGTATGTAATTGGGGATACAAGTTAGTATCAAGTTGCGTAGCAAGTACTCCTTCCGACTTTCAATGTAAATGTCGCACATTAGACTTCATCTCAGTATGGAAAGCGACAGTGTCTACTGTTCCTTCTGTACTTAGGCCGCATAATTCAACAAAGTTTACCACAAACCTTATACCTTAATTCCAAGCGTTTAGCATTAGAGATTTATTTGTTAGCGCATCCAAGATTACATAACAGCATTACAGATTTGGTCAGAATTTGTTTACTGAACTTTCTTAGGGAATATGAACGGTGCTATGGGCCTGAAAACTTGTAATGTGCATTTGTTGAAGCACCTTCCTGATGATGTTCGTTCACATGGACCTTTAGATTCTTTTTTACCATCTTATTCGAGTCTTATATGAGACAGATTAAGAAATCAGCACATAGCGGGTATGATGCAGCCAAGCAAGGCTTCAAGCTAGCATACTGACAATAATCTCTACTATACAAACAATCGTTAAGGCACACTCAGGGAAACAGGTAATTATGCTTAAGAATACAAAAAGTAACTTCACTTGAGCCAAATGTTATTCTAGTACACAGAAAGCCTGGTATTGCAACTGATGTAGGGGAAAATGGACTGATGACATTTAGATCATCCACAGACTCACGGAATTACTTCGAAGAACCCTTCCATCATAGTGACATAGGAATATTTATGTGCTCTGTAGTTAGTCATCAGTACACAGGATTCCATTAAGGATGTTGGTTGTAAATGTATTGCTCTTGTGTTAATAATTCGGTGATTGTTCCATTGCTACAAACGTTTATGTAATATTTTTAATTTTTGTTGATGCTATTACTTTAAACCATTTCCTATTTATTTTTATTTATTTATTTTACACATAGGTATTGGTACAAGGAGGCACCAAGTACATATGAGCCACACGAATCTCAATTTATTTGTGTGAGGGCTGTGATACTGCCCGGGTGCCCAAACCGAAGCAGGTAGTTTTCTTAGGGGGCCACACCCCAAGCCTTCGACCTGAACGTCTGGCCCACAAGGCAGTGGAGCATCGTGAGGAGATGCAGTCCCATGGAAGCCGGTGACCAACGATTGGTTCATACGCCATTTGTTCCTTCAGGATACTGGAGCCCATGTGCACCATTGATTTGAGATCCGGTTAAAGCGCCAGACATTCGCTTTTCGTCCTCTCATTTTTGTAAACAACACCCCCGCCACGTGAAGGCAGTGAGTAGGACTTCCCTGGCAGGGGCTATGTACGCGTGGCCATGTGAGAGCATTTCGAGAGGGAGAGCGGACTTTCCCCACTCTCGGCCGTACCAGGGCATTTGGGGGCTTTCCTATTTAGCCGACCGACAAGCAGTACGTAACCATAGATTCACCAAGTAGGAGGCAGGTTCTGATTTCAGCAAAACAGTGGATTGTGGGGAAAGGACTTTGTCGCTATTTTACGGACTTTTTTAATATGCAACCACAAAACAGGGCCCAATCAGATGACAACTGGTCAGTCACGAAGTGTAAGGTCATTCACGAATGCAATGAGTTACAAACATAGAAACGACCATTTCCTATAGATAGTTTCCAGACTGCAAAGGAGTTGTTGGCTTCGTTCAACAAATTGGATGTTTACCGTGTCAACAGTTCTACAGACGTAAACACTGCCACTAAACAATGAGAAGCTGAAGGGGTCAGTACAGTAATCTAACATTTCGTAGAGGTGCATTGAAACGGAATGAAGGGTTTCCGTACAATTCCGTTGACATGGATGTGACTGATACAGGCTGGAAACATCCAGGTCCAATATCCTAAATTTCGGTTGCTGGACACCGTTGTCTCACCAATTGCCAAGTAGGCGTGTTTACTCCAAATATGTTAATAAACTAGTTCGACACAGTTAGATACGTCGCCCTCAACGTACAAGTCTAGGCGTGTGAGAAGTGCGTTAGTGGCTAAGTAAGTCACGTGTCCGATTGAGTTAAGTACTTAAGATTTGATAGACTGTATGCTGTACTGCAGAACATATGGTCTGTTGTTTCAGACTTTAGTACCAACATTGTGCAGTTAATGTCGAAGTCTGGTGGGCATGAACATCCGCAGCAATTTGATTTCAAACTATTTAGTTCGCAGTCCCATTTGTCATTCGAAGAGGAACCGAAAACGTTAGACTGATGTCTTCAGCAGCAAGACATAAGGAGCAAATCTGTACGTAGACAAAATTCATTGCAGATGGACATGTTGACGCGGTTAATGAATGATAATCCTAAAACGTCTATGCGCTATTTATTGTCATACGTCATGACACCTGAAGCTGCCAGCCATTTTACTCTACTTGACACTTCATCTAAAAGAGAAATTTGGAAGTGCAGATTTTACGGGTGCATACGAAGTAAGAACTTTGCTTTCAAAACATTCAGACGCACAACAACTTGCAAAACTGTATGACATCGCAACGCAATGGTACTTTCACAATAGACAAAATACAAAAGCGTAATTGAAAACAAGCCGTTTAATAAAGGCATTGCTAGTGAAATATTTTTCATATCTAACTTCATTTCTAACAAACGTTTCTTGACATGCGCTTATTTTCTAACTTGCATGTGAAACTCTTTGAGTGATTGTTGAGAAATCCTGTTTGATCTTGAATGTACACATAAATAAGTACACATGCCTAATTAGTAACCCATAGCCTGTTCTTTCTTTTGCAGATCTTCGCAAATTACAATAAAACTTGGCACTTACAATGAAAATACATAACGATCGTTGCTCGAGTATCTGTCTATCTATAAACTTGCATAATATGGCGTTGTGGTATGTTGTGGAAATAAAGCGAACATAGGAGACATTTGGAGTCAGGTAAAAGATGAGTTAAAAATTCAGACCAAAAATAGACAAGCCTGAACGGGGTTAAGCGGAAAGTAGACAGTTTAGTGAAACAGCGATAAAACGAGAAAAATTAGGATTATTTCCTTCTGACAGGCGAAAAAATACATTTTGGTGCATTTCCCTGACATTCCCCTTTATTTTCAGACATGTTTTCCTGTTTATTTCCCCTTTGTCTGCGTTTATTTCATCTTTATTAATTGCTTGGGGCCATCCTAATTATAAACTAACTTAAGTCTTAAATCTAAGACTCGTTTGTACAAGTTAATCCATTACATAGCATTTATCCTGATATACAAACAAAAATAGTTCCAAAGTTACAATCTGGCTGGAAAGAACTTAAATTCCGAGAAAAATATACGAATCAGTCAGACATTTAGCAAACTTTAAGGATTTAGGAAGTTGCATTGGAAAACTTTTCCTAGATTAACCAACCTGTACCAAAATCTGCAAATAAATGTGAGCAATTTTCAAAGAAAATCGAATTAACACGATGTGATAATCATAACCCAGTAATATACATCTATACAAAACAATGAAATAACCGACGAACCATGCCGAGTAACGGCAACGCTTCAGAGGTATCGTCCACTGAAGGAGGTTGTGAGCACTTGAAGGTCAAACTGTCTCAAGATGATTGGTGCGTCACATCGACAATTCGTGAAGTTTTTCAGAGGCGGTCAAATCAAGACATCCTTAGATTTGAATTGAGTTCAGCCACACCATGTCTGATAACGTCCATCCTTCAAGTAACGAAGATGATGCCATCGTGATGATGCATGATATAGGACGAATCTTCAATGATCAGTTTCAGTTTGGATAGGACAGGAGGCTTGATGGCCTGTGTTAGTCCTGGCAATTGTGTTCTCTCAGTTGATCCAACTTTCTTTTGAAAGAATCTACGGATGGAGCTTCAACCACATGTTGAGGTAATGAATTCCACTCGTTGATGATTCGGTGGGAAAGTCGATAATCAGCTGACAAGTAATTTGTTCTGGGCTTGTGAACTTTTTTGGAGTGTCCTCGTAAATTCTCTGTTTTGGAAGACAGGAAAAATGAGGGCATATCAGGTGCAAATTTACCACTAAGCAATTTGAAAACTGTAATCAAGTCGCCTCTAGGTCTACGATATGACGAAGGGAATAGGTTTAGCTTGGCCAATCGAGCATCATACGGAAGCTTCGCTATTACGGGAATCAGCTTAGTTGCTGTTCTCTGGACCTTTTCCAAAAGCCTACTGTCTTTTTTGAGCAGGGGCTAGCCGCTTGCATGCAGTACTCAAGTTTAGGACGTATGAACACTGTATACAAAGTCAAAAACGTTTGAGCGTCGACATGAGTAAAGGCCCTACTTATTGACCATAAAGTTCTAAAAGCTTTGGCGGCTATTGCACGGCAGTGTGCAGTAGTCTTCAGATCTTGGCTAACGATGACTCCCAAGTCATTATGTGTCCGGGCAACAGGTAGCTCAGTGTTATTCATCGTGTATGTATCTGTACCTTGATGATCGGTATGCATCACAACACACTTGGAAGTATTTATCGGCAGCTGCCATGTATGAGACCATTCGGATAATTTCTTCAGGTCATTTTGGAGTTCTAAGCTATCACCCTTACATCGTATCGTTCTCCATATCTTGACATCGTCAGCATATAGCAAGACCGATGATGATAGTAAGCGAGGAAGGTCATTTACATACAGGAGGAATAGCACTGGCCCCAAAACTGTACCCTGGGGCACTCCACTAAGTGCAGTTTCCCAGCTAGATAATTTTGAGTTTACCCGTACTCTTTGTTGGCGCCCAACAAGGAAGTCTTCTATCCACGTCAATAGATTGCCTCCAATTCCGACATTTTTTAGCTTATATAACAGCCGGTTGTGCGGAACCTTGTCAAAAGCTTTGCTGAAATCAATGTAAGCCACGTCTACAGGTAACCTTTGGTCCTTAAAAGCGCATCAGCTTTCTCGAGCGACTAATATGTTAGTGAGACAAGAATAACCTATTCTGAAACCGTGCTGTTTCTCCGAGAGGATTCGGTTTACATCGAGGTATTTAAACAGCTCTTTCCGAATAATCTTTCCTAAGATTTTAACAACCACACTAGTTAGGCTAACGGGTCGGTAATTCTCAGGTTTATGTTTCGTACCTGTTTTGAAGACAGGACTTACTATGGCGTTCTTCCAGTCTTTTGGTAAACGACCCTGCGTGACGGATAGCTTAAATCATATACTTAAAGGGTTCGCAACGAAGCTAGATAATTCCTTTAGTAGCCTAGGATGCAATTCATCGGGCCCCGTGGATTTACCTATATCAAGCTTATTTAGCAGATCAAAGACATCGAGTTCATTTATGGTCACGCTATCCAGTGTATGTGTGGGGGGGTTGTATGCGCTGACGGGAAGGGTGCTTCTATGGTATATACATTGCTAAAGTAGTTTGAGAACACTTGAGCCTTACCAAAGTCATCTTCCACTAATGATGCGGCAGTACTGTCTCCCCATAGTGCAGGAATAATTCCTCTTCTTTTTGTCCTTTGGTTTATATAGGAATACAGGCGTTTAGGACATTCTATGGATTCCTTAACAATTTTTTCTTCGTACAGCTTTCTAGACTTACGGAGGGTCGAGGCACAGGTATTCCTAGCTTTTCGGTACTGAGATTTTGTCTCATCAGTCCCCAGTAACCTAAATCTATCCCATGATATTATGTTATCTCGGAGATTTACAAGTTGGGACAATTTTGAGACCTGTTTGAAAGAAGTACATAAGGTAATATGACTTCTGTGGTTAATGATTATTTTTGCAGTATACCCATACTAGGTACGTTATGTCAGTATGTAAAAAGAACAATGATGACCCAAGTCTAAAATGCGTTCACAGTGGAACCCAGGTTGTTGAAATCACATTGTAATTAATTGAGCTTAGATATTAAAAATACCAATAAAATTTTACAACGTGTTCAAGTAAACACTGAAGTTAAAGTACTAAGTAAACATGGGAAGATATCTATGATTTGCTTCAGTCGCAGGGAGCAAGTAGCTGTTTACCACGCCTTCCCAGAGGTAATATGTATCGACTCGACTTATCAGACCAACAAAGTTGGGTAAGTAACGAATCGCAATTAATTTATCTTACAGTTTTCCACTGTTCCAGCCAGTGGTGACTGATAGTCTTGGGCAAGGGCACACTGTTATGTATGCTCTTTGCAAGCAAGAACGACGAGATGTCGTAAAACTATTGGAATGCTTCAAAGATAACGGCCCAGGGTATCATCGAATGAATGACGTGACTGTGCACTTAAAGGTCAAATTGTCGTAAAACGATTGATGAGTCACCTCGACAATTCGCAAGATTTTACAGAAGCGGTCAAATCAATAGTTATAAATTTTATTTGAGTTCAGCCACAGTATGTCTGGTAACGTCCATCCTTCCATTAACGGAGGTGATGCCATCTTGACGATGCATGATATAGGACGAACCTTCAATGATACTACAGTATCATTGATAACATATATGTTATCGGGACAATTTTTAGACCTTCCAAGGTAGGTCTTTCAGCAGAAAGAAGTACATAAGGTAATATAACTTCTGTGATTGGTAATTCGTTGTATAGAGTACGCATACTAAGTATTTCATTTCAGTATGCAGAAAGAACAAATATGGCCCGATTGTAGGGTGTTTTTGTCAGATATGTTTGTACTTATGGACGTAAACGCAATACTTGAAAACCCACTTCCCTGTTGTAGAGGTAAATAAATCCCCAAAATAAATAGCTCTGTAAGTTTTCGACATTGGATGCTGACCACATTAGTTTTAATGGACTCATCTAGCTGAAGGCGTTCGGTCATGCATCCGCACCAGATCACGTGTGGGAACGCCGTGCTCAATATCTACTGCAATCGCTAGCCAGATTAGTTCAGACGATCGTCGATATATTGATAGCTTATCAAATATATCTTCGAACCTTCTTGCTTCTGTCTTTTGATTTCAGTTGGTGGGTACGCTTCATATTAGAGGGTGTTACTGGTTAAAGCTTTGTCAAATTCCGACTACCTGTGGCATCTTCACTGTGATTACGTACAATATCACTGGATTGTTCAAAAGTCAATGTGGGCTTGCTGCTACCAGAGACATGTAGGAAGCCTGGACAACTACACAAACAATCGTGTGGAAAGTGCTCATGAACACTTAGAAATATGTCACAGAAGAGGTGATTCTCTTGTGTTAACGTTCTGAGAAGTTAGGATTATGACAGACACTGACCTAAGTTTGTGTCCATACGACGCAATTAAAGGTCTTCGAAGTTTCCCAAAACGTGGGGCCCCAAGGTAACTTCAAGCTCTTAAATGTGCTCACAGGCTTCGCAGCTAAAATTGCAGCTGTAAATCATGAACACGCTAGGCGTGTAGCGTGGCGTCGAGTTGCGGTTAACTATGAACACCACTACAAGAAGAGCGCGTACCAGAAAATCAGAAGGCGAATAAATGTTGTATCAAAAGTATACCGAGATCGTGCCAAAGGAAATACAAGTGGAATCACTGGGCGAGCGTACGTGTGTACAGGGCCACAGTCAACGGAAGAATAATGGATGTCTTTAGTACAGTTAAACAAACAAGTACAGTAAGAAAATCGCTGGTACAATTGGTTATAATAATGATTACTTCCATTAAACCAATCGCGTTCTGTTGACAAAAATATGTCACTACAGTAGCCCCTCGCTAGGAAGGGTTCACACTTTCGATAGTTAGCGGTTTGGTTCGTGGGACTGATCGGCAAACGTGCGATTGTAGGACGGAAGGATTGGCGAAACAGGAAGCGATCGTTAATTCTGGAGTTGCCAACGAAGGTCGTTTACGTAGAACGGTACCAGGAGAAGCGTGCTGTATTTGTTGCTCGGGTTAGCATACCACACCAGAGTGTTTTGTATTCAGGATCAGAATATTGCGTTCGTAGGGATGCGGACCAGGAAACGTTGCAGACGTAGAAGGAAACCACGTTGAGCCGAGGAATCAGAAGCGACCATAGCAACCAAGTACGAAACCAAGCGTATACCAGGCAGATTCAAAACCAGACTATCGACTGAGTGCGTTGACAAGAGCGTGGGTGGCCAGACCAGCTTTCACCAAAGTTAACTGAAGTTGACGTTACCAAACGAGCGATGATTGGAGGCATGGGCTTAGGATACGAAAAAAATCAAAAAAGGAAAAAAGGTGTAGCATGCATGTAGTATAGGAGTGATCCTACAACGTATCCGTTGTTGAATGTGAGGTTAGTCGCGAAAGCATACGGGTAAACGTACTCGGCGACCGGAACGTGAGACAGTAGTCTCGTTCGTACCTTGTGAGCCTGTGATCTCACCCAGAGTCAAGGGCGGTGTGGTCTGCTGACTTGGACGTGAGACAGACGCCTCGTCCGTAGATGGTGCAGATGACACGTGCTGTTAACCGGGACGTGAGAATGAGGTCTCTGGTGTATCTAGCGTGGGATCCGAGGTAGATGTAGAGATCCCGCTAGCAGGTTTGATGGGTCTAGCATTGAGTCTCAAGTTTTCAGGTAGCGCACTGTCATTGACGTGTG